TCAATGCATTTTCTATATATCAGGATATGACATTTGATATTATGTAATTTTGTTAAAGAGTATCCTATAGGTCGAAACTTGAATAGAAAATAAATTGGCATATATAGACTCTTTAGTTGAAATGAATAATCGATTAAATTCTATCTTTTAATGTAATTCAATCCAAGTGTCTTATTGTCAGTCCAATTAACCATAGCCAATCCTGAATTCTATAATAGGATCAAATCCAGGTTTTCAAAAATTCTACAGTTGATTGCTCGATCGCACTGAGCGGTTTGCCGCTCTTCTTTTAGTCCACCTCATTTGTTAAGATGTCCGTCCAAAAGTCCATTCATAACGGTCCATTTATCTTTAGCTCAGTTGTTTGTATAGAAAAACGACATGTGGCCCATTGAACCTAATTATTTGTCTAAAAGTTCATACTCAACGATTCGTGGTCCTTTATGTGTTGGAACTTTCGCTCCTTTCTTTTCTTGGGGAGTGGAAGTCATTTATAGGTGACCAACTAGTTAGATTTAAAATGACTTGATTGTCCACATGAAAGGGAGCCTTAAAGAATATCTCACATCAAAACTTAAATAGCAAATAAATTAGTATATAAGTTCTTGAGTTGAACTAAGTAATTGATCGTATTTAATCTTTTAATATCATTTAAACCAAGTGTGTTATTACTTAGTCCAATGGACCCTACCTCATCATAAATTCTACTCCGTATTAGATTTATAGTGTTAAATAATGAAAAAAAAAAGCTTTGTCAAATACCACATCAACATGACAAGTTGTGTGTGCTTTCAAAGAATTACTCCCACCCGGTCCCGTCAATACTTTTATTTACTCCGTAAGTCATCATCACCATTCACCAGCACCATCTTTATCATCTTCACTTTTAACTCAGTTTCATATTAGTCTTTCCTATTTCATCCTCTATTCTATATTTAAATATATTTTTTAAAATTAAGTTAAAACTTGAAATTAAAGAATGGAATTTAAAAAATTGAAGAACGTATCTAAACGTGAGAAAATTGAAGAACATATCTAAAAAATTGAAGAATGGACCTAAAGAAGAATGGTGAGGATGAGGAGGAGGAAAACTTACTCTTGTCATTTTTTATTTTGTAAAACTTTCATCGCACTTTTTTAATATTAAAATTTTATTATTATTATTTATTTTTGTTTCTTTTTTAAATAAATTAATTTTGAAAAATATAAAATTGATAGAATTTAGAATGAGTGTAGACAGCTGGATTGGACAATAAGATACTTGGACTGAACCACATTAAAAGATTGAATTCAATCGATTAGTTACTTTAATTCAAGAATTTATATAACAAATTATTTTACTCTTAAACTTCCGATGTGGGATGCATTTTAACAAAAAAATTTAATTATAATCCAATGAAGAACAAATGGAACAGTACTTTTCTTTTATTGGACTTGACATAAAAACAAGCTAGTCTTTAGCTTAAGTAACAGACTAGGTTTTTTTATATACGGAGTAAATCACGAGCCAGCACATGGCCTATTACTCATAAAGGCCTTTTTAAATACTCGTACGAAGTACTCAGCCTAGGCCTGTTTCGAGTTCAAAAAGCCTGACCCTGGCCTGCAAAGCCTATTTCAATTTTATATTCCATTACCCTCTACCTCTCTAATTTCATTACAAATTAAGAATTAAGAGACAAAATTTTTCATCTATTAAAATTATTTTATTTAGAAATTGAAAAAATAATACGGAATAAATAAAAGTTACATAACAAAAAACATTATAAAAAATTCTACAAAACAAAAGGTAATAAGAATATTTTATTTTATCAAATATTCAATAAAAACAAAAAATAAAACAAAAGTTATCGAGAGGAGAAAAAGATTGTGATTTCAGTCCAGATAAGAGAGTATATTTTATGAAAAATGTTGGGTACATTATTTGGTATTTTGGTGTACCTCAAGTGTACACCACTACCCCATCACCACCAAGTAATATGTGTAAACAAAAAAATTAAAAGTTTATAACTTATATATATTTAAAAGTTATATCAAAAGTTTAACAAACAAGAGGTTACAATAATATTTACGGAGTATTTTTTAAATAATTAATAAAAATATAAAAAAGTTGATCTGGTTTTGGAATAGTGCAAATCTATATAAGAACGGAGAGAGTAATTAAGTAAATATAGAATGTTTTACAATTTTCTACTATCTCCGTCACAAAAATATTGTCACAGTTTAATTTTTTGGTCAAATCAAAGAATTCTTTTACTACAAATTAAATATAGTTTAAAATAATTAAATAATATAAAAATTTGATATTTCAAAACTATATTTTAAAATAAACTTAATTTTATTAAATTTACATTATAACTAAATATACATTTTTCAAAATTTATGGTCAAAGTGTTGCACAATTTGATCGAAAAAAATCAAAATGTTGCAATCTTTTTAGGAGGAAAGGAGTATTTCACAAGTTTATTTATTTATAGAATTCCATTTATATATATTTAAAATCACTCTACTTGGACGTAACAATTAATTTTAAAAAAGAATTAATATGTACACCGTATGGCCGGGCTGAAGCCAGCCACAAATTTCCATATGGGCCGAGTTACGAATTCAAATGATAGTCCGTAGTGCCCATTTGGCCAAATTCGATCTTAAAAAATTCTCGTAATATTTTGTCTTGAAAGAGTTTAGAATTTGGCCAAACTGCCACAATGATCTGACTAAAACTATTTGGTATCATTTTATTTACTCTTTCTGTCTCAAAAAAATATATTATATTTTTACTCCCTCCAGGTTATGAGAACTTTTGTTTATGTATGTATTTTGGTTGATTATTTAATAAAATAAAATGTTTTATTATCAACTCTTATTTTGTAAAATTCTTGACATAGTTTATGCATGCCTTTTTTTTACTTATGTACCATTTTTATACATAATGAATGGAAAAAACTTAAATTTTTATTTGTTTTACGTAATGTAGCATTTTTTTGGGACGGGGGAGTATAGAATCAAAAGACGATTTTAACACAAGCCAAATCTTTATAAACGATTTAATGAGATGTTTATGCTAAATATTTCTTTTATAGAGGATGTTAAAGGTGATGTCATTATTAGAGTCCATTCGGTGAGTTTTGTAGGATTAATATGATATGATTTCTAATATTCAGGAAAATAATATAGATTTAAAAATGTAAAATAAACGTGTTAAGGAAATATAGAATTCCGATTATAAGTAAGAGATGAGTGATTAGGGACGTAGGTGGTTGGCAATAGGGATAGTTGAGAGCAGATGAAACTATACTCACTCAGTCACTGTGTCCCGTATTAATTTTCTCATACATTATCTACGAGATCAAATTTAACTCATTTTGTTTGTTTAGTTTTATTAATCATGTCATAAAATAATATAGTTTTGTTACTCTTGTTTTGTATGATTTTTCAGGTAATTTATTCACTATAAAAATTTTATTTTTAAAATTTATATTTACAATCAAATAAATTATTTTGAAAATAAAGATTGTCAAGTCTCGTAATGCTAAACGAAAAGATCTATGAAAAAGGAGGAAGTATTATTTTGTGAAATGAGCTACTACCTCCGTCCTAGTTTACTTTTCTAGTGTGACTATTTTGAGTCAAACTGGATACAAATATAGTAATATACATTACAATTTTCATTTAATTGAAACTCAAAGATCACTATGTTTGACTCAAAAAAGTCAAACTGAGCAAACACACCGAACGAAGGGAGTATTCTGTAATTCCGTATAAAAATAAGCAAACAAAAAACTTCATCGTTTAAATAATCTCTGAAAAGATTTATGAGTGATGGAGGGAGTACTTTATTTCTCTTTAGTAAGGGGGTGTTTGTTTTTCCGCCAGAAGACCTTCTGGCGTCTTTTGTCTGCGCCGCGCAGACGCGCGCAGATGATGAGCTCTGCAGATTGTTTGTTTTTTGGAAGACATTTCACTCAAAAAGGTCTTCCTGGCATCTTCTTGGAGAAGACATTAACCAATGTCTTCTAACATCTTCTAACATCTTCTCCTTTTTTTCTACTTTTCTTCACCACCACAACTGTTCACCGCCACCGTCCACCACTACCACCGTCCACCATCACCGTCACCGTCCATCACCATCGCCGTCCACCACCACCGCCACCATCCACCGCCACCACCACCACCGTCC